AAGACATACGTACAGAATAAAAGTAGCTTTTTTTCCCTTGTAGTTACTTAAAGAACCAAGTTTTTTCTGTTTGGAATAAACGTTTTTACTCGAGTAGAATAAATCTCCTCTGATTTTCATCAGCTCCTCTGTTTTTTATTAGCCAGAGTATAGCTGTTTATGACAAAAGAAAACCAGTCACTTGGATTTATTTGTTTATTTCCATAATAAGTCAGTATAATTATTATTTCAATTAATTATTCTTTTTATCTAAGGTCTTAGTTGAGATAAAAAGTTAGTGTCACGAGCAGGACATTGAGCCGAAGGTCGGGGGATCGTATCCCGCTCGTGACACTAAATTTTTTATTTCAACCAAGAACTTAGATAAAATTAATAATTAATTGAAATAATTAATATGTCAATTATGACCGGTAAACATATATGGATTAATATAATTATTAATAGTTGACTTAAAACGTAAACACAACTTAATAACTTGTTGTTTACCTTTATAGAGTGTTACTCAACCTTATACACTCTTTAGATAAAAAATAAAATAAAAAAATCAGTCCTGGGTGTGCCGCACTCTACCTTCCACCATGGTCTACAGCAATTTAGGCCACCGGAAGTCTCCGTCCAAGTGGTACGCCACCTAGAGAGGATTGCTCGTTTTATTGTTCTTATCGCACTGAGGATTCGTCATCAAACGGCTTCCTAGATAGGTAGTCAATTCCAAACGGTCCGGAATGTAAGGGTGAGTTCTGAAACAGTCATCAGAAGGCTTCGTCAGAATAGCCTAGATTCTAGAGGTTCTGCATCAGATTCTTTACTGGAGAAGAAAGAATCTAATAGAAAGGCGACTATTTGCAAATCAACATTTCGCTTGTACACTTGAACAATGGGGCGGGGGTGTCTTCTTCACAGATGAGGAGTGTCGGCTTAGTTTGCGGCAATCAGATGACCGGGACCGTGTGTGGAGAAAGCTTTAGAAAATCAATGATTTTCCGGTGTCTTGGTGAATTTTATTTCAAACCATCATAATTAAATAATTTTTATTAAAATACAAGAATTTATGATGTTTAATTTGATTTACATTAAAATAAGTATAACGATACAAATACATATAGTTTGAACTAAGCAATAAATTATGAGTGTCCGGTTTTTGTTATAAAGATCTACAAGCTTGTACAATACGTGACGCTGACTAGTTCTCAATTTATGTTCAATATGTGATATTAAGGAATCTATTATTTTATATAATCATATAAAAAAACCTAAAAATTTAACGGTAAAATTTTTCTTCAATTCCTAAGATAAAAGGAATATCCAGAGTTACTACAACTCTTGATTCTTTGCAGTAATTTCTTGATTAATATTATTCTATTGAAGCAACAAGCTCATTAATTCATCTGTTAGGACATTTAATGGAGAACAATACTGGGCCGCATATAAATCGGAGGGCGAGTAATTAAAGGCGAGAAAGTTCATCAATTTAAAGCTTGCCTATCGAGTTTGAAACAAAAAACTGTATGCATAGAAAATTGTTTTTAGGTACATTACAGTATATCACGTGGTGTTTAATCGTTGCTGCACTTTCAGACAGGTAAATTGATGCTAGAGATGTTAAATGAAGGGTAACATGGAACGACAAAAGAATCATTGTGAAGGAGGTGAATTGTCTCGGTTGGGAAACTCGTCAGGTGATATGAATATGTGCTAGGACGTGCTTGGTAAAAACTCTTTCGAGCCTTCTTTGTGGCTGAGAAAAGCGGCAGCCAGAACCAATAATAAATTGTTTCGGTGTCGATCCGCTCGAGGAGACAATTCGTAACATGTTGCTTTTTTTATCCACTGCTTTAGCAGCTAGTTACAAGGGGCATTGTTCCGAACGTAGTCCAACCATACCTTATCGAATCGGCGTCACCACGCTCCTTTGCCTTTCCCATCTACCAAGGAAATACCAATTAATCTTGGGCCGTTTCTGAAAAGAAGTCACTATCTAACTACAATATTCCTCAGGAAATATCACTTTTTTTAACAACATTTACTATTCTTCTTCACGCCATTTAACTCAATGGTGAAATTCCATTATGAATGGGTATTTTGTTTAAATTCTCTAGCCTTTCAATCGTGTAATGTTAAAACAGTACAGTTCTTTTTTTGTGTGTTTACATTTCAGAATTATTTTCATATCAACAGTTTTTAACGTCCCGAGATGTCCCTGGGGGCATTTTTCGGGACGTTATAAGATTCATATGAACTGTGTACAGCATTTCCTCGATTTTTTTTTTATCTTTCCGCCCGGACCGGAGGATTTTCGTATTACATGTGGCGTGTCTCTTGAGGCGTGCTCTTACGTGTTCACCTTGTGAGGTATTCTTTCGGTTCTCTGCCTACCTCTTTCTCTCTCTTCAAAATCCTCTCTCCCTCTCCAAAACCACCTTCCTCGGCATACCACGGCGAAGCGACAAAGGGAGCAATGGGATTGGGCCCGAAGTCCTGCATCTCCTCGACGCCTGCCTACCCGGAGCCAGGAGGTTAAGTTCCCTTATTCTTTCTTCATTCCAGTTCCTTATAATTTCTTACGTTATTTTATTTTCTTTAAATTTGTAATCGTTATTATTTTAATTCGGCACCCTGCCGAAACAACAGTTAACAAGTAATTAATCATAGAAATTGTGTGAACTCATTGGTTTAAACTGTTGGCCGTATTTGGTCTGACAGTCTCCGCAGTTGGCCTTTTGTCAGACACCTTTCGTCATTTCACTATTTCAGAGAAAGTGATTTGCCGATCGTTGACGAATTAATTTTAATTGTAAAACCCCTGTAAACACAAAAATCATGCCATCGCGAATGACCTCATTTCAATGAAACTTCGCATATTGATAAAAACATGTGCTTATTTAATAAATTGTCGGTTTTACCTGCGCAGCTTTTGAGCGCACTGCCCAAAGCGGTTCAAAGCGTTTGCTTGATTGGGAATGAAGGGATTGATGATGTACCATGTCTGGTAGGTCTTTTGTCTTAATGAATATGAATTGAGGGAAGCTATCGAACTTTATTCGTGTCAAACATATTAGAGGGGAGCCAAAGTGTTTAACGTAAGCAAGGAAACCATTCTCTCTATCTTACATCAACTTGGAAAGACGTGGATGCTCAGCAAATTGGTTCCTCACAAATTGACCGACGGTAACAAGCTTCAGCGACGAAACATTTGCCTTTCATTGTTTTCACGGAAAAAATTGGATACGTTTTTTGAGCAGGCAGTCATATGCAACGAAAAATGGATCGTGTGCAGTAACACCAGGAGGTCCCACCGTTGGCTGATATCAAATGATGCGAAAACCAAATATTCACCAACAAAAGGCGTTTAGTGGAGTAAGGCAGGGATTGTACACTACAAACTCCTGCCTCCTCCTCAGACCACCACCACAGAAATCTAATCAAGCCAACTGCAACGAGTATCTGTTCCCTGGCCCAGAAACAGCTTGCTATCAGGAACAGAAAAGCTGTAATTTTTCACCAGGACAAAGAAAGACCTCATACAGCCAGAACGACAAGGGAGGTGATAATGAAGCTCAATTGGGATGTGCTATCTACCACACCCTCGATATTCTCCGGACCTGGCCCCCATCTGATTTTCATATTTTCTTAGCAGTGGACAATCATATGCGCAAAAGTGTTCGATAATCGCCAACAGCTGGAAAATGAGCTGATTTTAATTTTTAAGTGCCGAGACTCAAACTTTTATGAGACGGGCATAAATGGGCTATTAACTCGTTGGGAGAAGGAAATAGATAAACGACGGAGACAATTTCCCAGAATAAAATTTTTCTAAACTAATTTTAGTTGTGACCAATTAAACCCGCACGAACTTTTCAGGTTACCTGATAATTGCTCACACCTATCATGGAAACTACTCAACATTACGAAATATAGAAAAATTGAAAATAAAATCAATCAAAACGATAACGAGCGAGTGCTAATGTGGTAACAGGCTTAGAAAGCTTGACATTCTCCGCAATGAAAACTAATTTAACTTTACTTCACGTTTCTGCAGATAAAGAAGATAAAATAAGCATATAACGTTGGCCGTTCTCATCGCATTACCTTGCAAGGCCTGAAACAAACAAAATAAATAATCTAATAAATCAAAATTGTTATTCAATCTCTAGAGGGATGAAACCAGAATCTATTTTGATTGGAGGATACCCTGACAGTCATAATAATAGTTGGAAAATATAAAGACTATTAATAAAATGGAAAAAGCAACGAAGAGTTATTTTCCTCCAACTATCCTGGATCAGACCTGGTAGTCCTCATTGGTCTGTCAGACCAAAATAGCTATAAACCAACCAAAATGAACAAAAAATTCCAAACCACATGTTCATCACCCAGTGCCACGAAAGAGGAAATCAAAAATACTTTTTTTTTAAAATATAATATATATAATGCATCGTTCAACACAAGCCTTCCTTGGGTAATATACTATGTTTATAAGGCCATTAAAAAAGTATTTTTTGATTTCCTCTTTCGTGCTACTGGGTGATGAACATGTAATTTGGTGTTGTTTTAATCATTTTGGCTTGTTTATAGCTTTTTTGGTCTGTCAGGCCAACGAGGTCTACCTGGTCAGACCAAAAGGATAGGTTTAAGATTAAATTGACCATTTTTAACTTCAAATAAATTTTTTCAAATTATCCATTAAAGCACTGATCTCTGTATCATCTTTTAGATGGTAATCAGTGGGTGTTATTTTTTCTCCAATCAGGATTTGCGTCCGGCACTTGTCTGAGGTAAAATCCATCGAAATGTCGTCCGTAAAAAGTGGTTTATTTTGTATAACTTATTTGTAAATTAAGTATGTGATGTATAATGGCGATATGCCGTAGATAAGACTTTTTTTCTTCTTTTTATTCAAGTTGTGCACCACAAAGTAGGTAATGACGTTTAATAATCGTCGAGTCGTGTCAAGACGCCATCTATCTTCTTGAGTTCTTTGTTTCATGTGTTGGTGTAACCTACGAGTTGGGTTATCTTTTCTTCGGTTGTAATCATACCGGCGAACCGTCGATTTTATCGGAACAACACTCCGACTCCAGCCGAAATTACAAAAGTTCTACGATGAAAAGAAGGTGTAAAACCTCTGTCGGCAGGAAATCAGTCGTGTTCGGAGACGTGTTGGACGTGATCGACGATCGATCCGAAGAGAGAAACCCCGACACGGGCCCGGACGAGAGCGATTCCATCTACACGATCAGGGTTTCACTCGATCAAGTAGTGGTTGCGTTGAGGCATCCGTCGGTGCTTTATTTCCGTGGTGTCGTCGAGGCGAAGGCGATCGCCGGCTCTTTCGAGACTATGGGCTACCAGGTGAACGACGACGACGGTCGAACCTACACCCTATTCTCTCTGGAGGACAGCAGTGCCAATTACATATCCACAGTGAGGTACACGGTCATGACAGGCCGATATCTGAACGTTCTCTTTCAACTGGGCCTCAACGAGGATGTCATTTACAAAATTGTCAATCATGTTGGCTGCATGGGCACGGTCGTACTTCTGAGCAATGCTGTAGAAAGGTTCCAGCGATGGAACGAATTTCTTACGAGTCTCGACATTCAAGTTTTCCCTGCCAAGCTGAGAAAGCGGGGCTTCCCCTTGTTCCCCGAAGCTGAAGAAGCGTTGGGTGCTGTGTTCGACGATGCTGGTGGCACCAGGATTCCAAAAAAGCTCAATATTTGCAAAGATTGGGATGTCATCATGAGCGCCTTTCCAACAGACCAGCGTAAGTCAAATGCTGCAAGTTTTTTGTATTTTATACAGAGTATACATTTCAGATAGCCTGGCTAAATTTCTTTTGAACAGATAACTGACTTATACACTCAAAGAAAAAAAAAAATTATACTTATTATACTTTTATAGAATATTGCTAAGACTTTTACACACTTTAGAGTAAAGATAAAGAAAATCTGCCCTGGATGTGCCACACTCTACTATCCATGATGATCAAAAGTGGCCAGAAATTCTTTGATTTCAAGGCATTTGAAAACAAAATGAAAGGAGCCGTTTTTCCCCCATGCAGTTACATAAAGAACAAACTAGACACTAACTTTTTCATTTCAACCAGGACCTTATATACAAAGAAGAATTAACTAAAAGAAGTAATTTGGTCAATCAGACCACTAAATATAATGGGTTTAATAAGTAAAACGAAGTGTAACTTCACTAACAGCTCCCCGTGGCCAGTTCATAGTTCATGTGTCGCCGAGAATCGAATCCTGATTACACGACATTCAAAAAATGACAAAAAGGAGGGAAAATTTGAAAGGTTGTAGGTTGAGATGGGGAGTATGGTGTCCAAGTGGATCGAAGTCACGATAGCTCAAGTGGTTAGAGCAGTGGCGTATTGAGCCAAAGGTGGGTTCGAATCCCGCTCGTGACACTAATGTTTTCATTTCAATGAAGACCTTACAAAGAATAATTAATTGAAAGGGGTAATTTGGTCAATCAGATCACTAAATATAATGGATAAAGAAGAAAGTTTTATCTGTTTGGAATAAAAGTTTTTATTTGGGTGGAATAAATCTCCTCTTAGGACGTGTTCCGCTGTTTGTTCTTCTTCTTGGCAATATCTGCCCAGGCTTATTTCTGCCACTTCGTGTCTATACATATGCCCCCGGAGTCTGCATTGTCCAGTTAGCAGTCCAACTATTGTTCGTCCTAGCACGTCTTTGATTTAGTAGTTCTGCTGTTAGTTTCAGCAGTGGTCTTTTAATAAATTTTTTCGCATGCCTCTTCTCTTCATGCTCTGGGCTACATTCCCATTGAGTGGAGACAATCCATTGTCTAATGGTTCCGCTGTTTTGGCAGTTTGGTAAGCCACAAAAGGGTTCAGGGCCAATAGGTGTCCTCACTGAATTTTCCGACACCACTTTATCGGCCTCTCCTCTCCTTCTGCTTCAATTATAATTAAACAATACAGGTTGTTTCCATTCGAAAGTGGCCCGAATTTTTTTGATTTTTTGGCATTTGTGTACAATATGAAAGGAACGGTTTTTCTCTTGCAGCTACATAAAGATCACAGTTTTATCTGTTTGAAATAAAGGTTTTTATTTGGTAGAATAGATCTCTGATTATCATTAGCTCCTTTGATTTTTATTAGCCGGATTATAGCTCTTGTTGAAGAATGGGATTCTGTTGCACAAGACGAAATCCGATTGCTTATTTACTCAACAGCTAGGAGTCTTAAGGCCAGAGGAGATAATAGGTGTTAAGAGCAAAACCAAGTAATAATTGTTAATTATATTTTAATTAGGGAATGTTATTACAGACCAATTTTCAATTCTACCCCCCAGCAGTTATTAAAATATCTAGGAGTTTTTTTTTTTATCTGGGGTTGGATGATCCAATAACTAAAATCTTGTTAGATATCTCCTCTGCCAAAAATAATATGGCCTCTGGGCTGGATAGGATCCTAAATGATTCGATTCTCGACGACAAATTAAATGTTCACGGAGAGATTTAGTGAAGTATACTTCATTTTAAATCATTAAATTCACTAATTTCGTGGTCCGCTTGACCAATTAATATATTACAATTAATTAAGGTTTTTATTTGAGATAAAAAAGTCAATGGCATGAGCGGGATTCGAAAATTCAAAAGGTGGGGTTGAGATGGGAAATTGGCGTCCGAGTGGATCGAGGTCACGATAGCTCAAGTGGTATCTAGCCGAAGATCGTGGGTTCGAATCCCGCTCGTGCCATTGACTTTTTTATCTCTTCTAAAATCCTTAATTAATTGTAATATATTAATTGGTCAAGCGGACCACGGAATTAGTGAACTTTTGTGTAATTTACAGTAAAATACCTGCAGGCTTTGAGAATCGCCAAACCCTGGGATCAGACCTCACTCTTGCCCGTTACTTACACATTCTCCAGATCCATACCCACTCGCTCTTAAATACATAGGGGACCACGGTGGTTGAGCGGTCATGGAGTCCGACACATAATTTTTAACCTTCGACATGGAATAATGCCATCAATATACCTACATCATATATCCCTCCTTATAGTCAGGTCCTAGGGCTGTATATCGACAAAAGACTAATCCACATGCAAGACTAAAAAAGCAGGAACTGACAGGCCATTACAATACACTTTCATGAACTAGACAAACAATCAAAAGTGATTTTGTTCTTTAAAAGTAAGTGATAAAGTAATTCCTTTTATACTGGAGGGTTTAACATCCAACTATGTTAAACAAGAGGGCTTAAAGTCCAACTACCCACTGGGCGTCGCAGATGAGAGGTCAAACCACATGACAATACATTTTTCATGAATTAAAAAGCTATGAGCTCTGCTAGGATTCAAACCCAGAACTACCAGCATAGCAGATACGAGTCAGGCACCCTAACCACTCGGTTGCAGTCCGGTGTAACTTGTTCTTGTTTCACATTTCATCAGATTCAATGTAGTTACCGGTGTGAGAAACAAAACATGTCAAAGTGATTGTTAAATTGTGTATTGTGAGATTTCTTCTTGGGGTGTGTGATGTGATGAACCTGCAGTTTAGAAATTTTCAATCTAATTTGTGTACATAATAATCTAATAATGTAATATATATACATATATAATATATATAATGTTCATATATAGTATTGGCGATAATAATCTATATTTTGAATAAATAAAAATTTATTGTTCAAATTTTCCTGTTACTGTATTTGCGGTTTTAAAATTGTTTACAATGATTTGAAATTTTTAATTTATTTGTCAGTTTTCCACATAACTCTACTTTGTATGAGTAATTTATTTATTTTTTTTTTTTAATTTCAAGATTTCAAAGTTCTATTCTGTGGGGGAAAAGGAGTTGGGAAATCCACCACAATGCGATATATGATTAACAGAAGGCTACAAGTTTCTCCAAAAGTTTTAGTCATTGATTTGGATGTTGGTCAGAGTGAATTTACCATTTGCGGATCTGTTTCAGCGGTAGTGGTTTATACGCCACTTTTAGGCCCGAATTACACCCACCTGAAAAATCCATCTAGGTACATTTTTTGTTTTTTCTATTAGCTATTACTACTTAATATTTTATACATTAAGATTTAAATTTTATTAGTACCTAACATGCAAAAAACATCGTGTATTTGTGATTGAATTAAAATATATCAACAGTTATGTTTTTAATTGATTCATATATTTGTTTCAGATCGTACTTTGTTGGAAATATTGATATTGCAATGAGTATATCCAGTTATTTAAATGCAGTTAGAAAGTTGCTTAACTATTGTCTGTACAATCCACAATTTTCTAACTGCACTTGGTTTATTAATACAATGGGTATTACAAAAGGTTGGTGTATATTTTGTATTGTTTTTACAAATGAGAACCTAATAAAATATTATTTTCAGGAATCGGACTTGGTCTACTTGCAACTATTATTAAATTAGTGTTACCTGATTTTGTACTTCAGATACAAAGCAATGATAACCAATTGAATTTTGATGCTCAACTTCAACCTCAAAATATACTCGGTTATGGAGCACCAAGATTATTTGACATTAAAAAGTATACATTATTTACTGTAAGATCGGCTGTGATATCATCGTATAAAGATAGAAGGTATTTTTTAAATACTTAAGCTAGTACTTATCTTTGTCATTACATATTCAACTGGATTAGGCTTTTTATGGGTATTGCTGGCACTTTACGTTTTTTAATTAACAAAATTTGGCTTTAACGGCTGGGCGAGTTTACATTTCTGATGGAACTTCTGGGACTTTATTATCATTTGCAATTCCCTTCCACACGTGATGAAAACGCTCAGTTACACATACGTGCATATGCATATATTGTGGCATAACCTTAGTTTGGTACTGGTTATACCTGTGAGGATCTGCCATCATTCATGCTAATAAATACATTCATACTGATTAGAAACTTCCATACTGGTTGGTGAGTCCTTGAGGTACTGAATATTGCGCCACAGGTGCATAAACATTCAATCTTATAAATGTCATTCATACAATATGTGTACAGATAAAATTTGGGGAATCATTGGGGTATTTAATATGCCAGTGCCTCCCCTTCACTGTACTGAGTCTACTGACTACCACTGCATCTACGATCACCTCTCCCCATAACACCTGCCCTTCTCAGGCCCGTTGAAAACCCTGGTCACTAAAAGTATTTTACATTTATTTGGGTGCTACACAAGGGGCATCTCCGTGTCCTTTTATTAATTAAGATATGCCTACCCGTTAGTCTGGTGTGGCTAATTCATAGTCAGTTCATCACTATTCTTTGTTTTTTGGTCCATGTTCATGGCAGTTTTATTTTTCTTAATGTCGGTTATTACAGCCCAGGGTTTTACCAATCTTCTCAACATAAATTTTTAAAATAATTTTTAGCATATGCTAGGCTCACTGAAGTCTCAGAATCCAAGCAATAATGATTTCTTTTCTCTCTTACTTTTTTTTATTGTCTTAATGGCAAAAAATGTCACAAATGAATATTAAATTACATTAATATCTTAAAAAAGCCTAATCGGCGATTTTTTTGTGCCATAGGATTTATTTGATTGTCAGCATTGTCCTTAGAATTTTCTTTAGTGATTTGTTAGTCCATCCCATGATACCTGATAACTACAAAGTTGAGGTAAACTCTTCCCGTCAAGACAGGAATCAACAAAAATAACTGGATTAAGTAATAATAGTTAATGTTCTATTTTAATTTTTTCTTTATCATTTTGATAAACTGCATCAATATATTTTTATTGTATTGATTATTTTTCATAATGTCTACCTTACTTTTTTTGTAAATTTATTATTGTTTAATTTCAGGTTTTCAAATATAATAGGATTGACTCCCAAAACCCTCAGGGAAATTGTGATGTTGGTCTATCTAAGACGAGCTGCAGTAGATAACAATAAAAGATCTCGTTTCTTTAAATAGTAAGTTAAACTATACTTTCAATTTTTGAGGATGTTTGAATTGTAATGTATTTTGTATATCAGAGAATGTAAGTTGTAATAATTAATATTTTTTATAGTATAAAAATAAGTGAAAAAAATTGGAAACCACCGCCTCCGCGGATATATGATCAACCTTGTGAACAGGTCTCATTGTTTTCAGCCGAATGTGCAACAAATAAAGAACTAAATGGAAAAAATCTTGTGTGTGGATATTGGGAGTTAGTAACTCTAAGTAGTTCCTCTGTAGAAGAGTGCAACCCAATTGTTCTTGGTCATGGTAAATATAACACATATTTTCTTATAATTTAAATATCCAATCTCAGATTTTTCTGAAGATGGCTTTCTTTCCATATCTTATAATACGGTTACAGGTACAGATCTTTTTGGCTTACTCTTCTTCCACACGAAATATCTTTTCCTTATGATGTCAACTTTTTGTGAACTTAACCCTTCACCCTTTTTAATTTTAAATTAACCCTTTCTTTAAAGCATTAAATCTTAGGAGATGGTATGAAATATAAAGCGTGTAAAATAAAGTTCTTGTTCATTTGCGAATTTAAAAAAAATATTCCGTAATATTTCAAACTATTTCCTTAAGCTGTAAAGAAAGGGTTAATTTAAAGAAAAAAAAGTTTAATTTGAAATTAAAAAGGGCTAATTTTGATTGATACAAATTATTTTATTTGTAGTTTATAATAATTTTATTTTGTTTCAGGCCTTGCAAAGGAATGCTTCGAAAACGGCCAACGTTATATGCTTATTTTGTCACCTTTGTCGGCGAAAACGTGGTGTAAAGTTAAATCAGTTTTCCTCGCGGAGAAAGTCAACCTTTCTAAGACTCTTATAACCTTAATAACACGTGTATTCGATTCTCATGGATTGGTTCCAGGTATGATTGTATCTGACTTTAGAGATACAGATGGAAATGAAATACCAATTAAAAAACAATTATTTTTTGACTAAAATGTTTAGAATTGATTTTTTTCTTTTGATTTTATCTTCTGACAAAAAGTTTCAAATATTTTGTAATTATTGGCATACGTGGTGTCATGTAACGAATTGAATTAGATTACTTACATGTAAAAATGAACTATTTTCAATTATATATATTAAATATTTTGTACATTTTTATATAAAATATTTTGTTAGATTTTATTTTTTGTTTAAATTATACATATAATTATTGCAATTAAAATTCAAATAGAAATCTGTATTTTTTAAATTAATTTTGAACTGATATAGCTATTAAAACAATTCCCTTTCTTTCCCTTATGTTAATGAGACAAGAATTCAATTTCTAACCAAATTTTTGCTACCATTGTATTTACAAGTTTAATTTCAGCTATGATCAATTTTCATGAATCATGTCGGTATTAATAAATTATAATATTACTCTCAAATAAAACTAACTACTCTAGCAGAAAATCATTTGCTTTTCAGTGCATGCAGACATATTTTTAAACAATAGTTCTGGTGTTAAAAAAGCCCATTTATAAGTATTCTGGGTTCGAATCCCAGCATCCCCCTTTCCAGCGATAAATCACTATGTCATTGTGTTCCGACCGTTGGGGCAACTGAAGCCTCCTATAATTAATTGAAATGGTAATTCAGTCAATGAATAATGTCAAAATTATGCTAATATTACTTTGACAACCAAGATTTCTTTAAAAGTTCCTGATTCTTTGATAAATTTGAACATTTTGGTAATATAATTAATTTGTATTCATAATGAATGAATACTCTTTTTATGATTGATACAGGAAAAAATATGAACATACACAACAAAAAATAAATACAATTAAAAATTTTTTTTAACTGTCATAAAGAAAATTACCAATAAATTAAAAAAAATTAATTAAAAATTTTAAACACATTTTTATTCGTTAAATTTTCATCAGTCTTCAAAACAGTAGTGTATATTATATCTAAAATATCACATTTTTTTCTTATGGTAAAAAAACACATTAACAAAAAATTTACTCGATACTTCATGAATAATGGGCCGATCTCATCGGTCTGAAATGATTTAAACCATTGATGATCCAGTCTGGCTCCACTCCTTTTGTAAAATCTCTACGAAATCTGTAATTCAAAACATGAAGCCGTTCTGTGAGCTCTTGATTTGGAAGCCAGGGTTTTAACTCAGAATGGGCTGCATTGTTCAATTCATTGAATCCGGTCAGAACATGGTAAACCATAGTTATTTCAACTATACGTTTTTGTGGTTCTTCATCTGCAACAATTTCCAACAAAGATGAGTAAATGCAAATAAATTTACAGTATTGTTTTGTTTAAAGGAAAAACATTGTATCTTCAATAGTTGATTTGTGCAGTTTTAGAAAATTTTGCACATATCATGAGGTTAAATATCATTTGTTTATTTTTACTGAAAGATACTAACAGTGAATTGTAATCAAGTCGCAATTACCATTATCATCTGGGAGAATTATCCCAACTTCATACGGAAAACTAAAAACAATGTCGTCTTTCTTTATAGCAAGTGCACTCTCAGCTTTAGAAGAGAAGTTGGTTAAGCATATTTTAATTTCTGCTATAACATCAGGAGTGACCAACCCAACCAGGTGCCTAAGCTCATTCATGGACAAATGGTGGGACACTTTTTCTACAGCCTGTAACAAACACATTATATGCAAATATACACAATTAATTCAGATTTTAATAGCAAAATTAATTCAACAAATATTTCCCAACAGGAAAATAATGTAGGAAAATAAATTTTTTGGCCCCAACTGAACATGGAACACAGTAACAGAGAAGCGTTCAATTACCAAGGGCAAATTAGCCCCTGAGAAGAAAAAGTAAAAAAATAAAATAAAAAGAGAAACATGGATACCTACTTTTGAGCAACTTATACCTAAAAATTATTATTGCAATTTATTTGTTCAATTTTTGCTATTTCTAGACCCTTTTTCTTGAAGGTGTTTTGAAAAAATTCCTAAAATGTATGCATCAGCATCCTGTGCCATTTTCTAGTACATGGTTTAGTTCTGGAAAAATTATTTTAATTTAACATTATTCTTTTTCCTAATTGGAATTCCTAACCTAAAAATGTAAAAATAATTTAGAAGGTACTCCTCTCCTTGTGCTCTTGTTGGAGAAATACCATGAACTGGAGTGTCTTGGCAAAATGGTTGTGGTTGTTGCTTGGGTAAACATACACAAAAGTCTGAAGGGTAATGAAAGGGCAGATGAGGCGATTAAGGTGGGACGTCCCAACCTCTGTACTTAAACACCGCAATCTGGCTCTCTGATGCAATAAATGCAATAAAACCAAGATTAAAAGTATGAAGCATTGGTGGGCAGGATCGGCAGAGAAGCTCTCACTTATCAAGAGTGCTAAAGAGTTGATGCTCCTCGGAGGATTTGACCCTTAGAAGAAGAGTCATCCTCACCCGGTTAAGGATAAAAAGGCCATGCAAAGTTGACATGGCGTGTTAATTAAGCTTCTATAGGGCCAAGTGAGTGTGTCCACATGTCCGGCATGTACAGAAAGGTAGCTCAATGTGTCCCACCTTATTCTTGAAGGGTGCAATTCATTGTCTCCATATAGAGGGGTACACCAGAATGCCACCTGATAGAATTGTGCTTGAGCATGGCAGCGAGAATTTGGGTCCCCTGTTCCAATTCTTGGAGGAATAAGGTTGTTTTAATGAATATAGTAATGATAATTTAGGTTCGCTAGCCTAGCGCTGAGAGTGTGAATTGATGTGAATGTTTAGTGTGAGAGGGCTGATGGTGAATATCATGTACTCCAACACCCTAACTGAATGAATGGTATGAAATAAGAAAGAATTTATTAGATTGTGCGAAGAGTGAAATGAGTTTGGATCTGATCTGAATCATCGTTGGGTGCTGAATTGACCTACCTGTTGACAGCATCCGAAGCCCAACCTTGGTGGCTGGACAGATAAGACTGAGGTCTGACACCCCAGGCTGCCAACACCCGAGGTGGGTGTTTCTAGAGGTCTACCCTTAATTTATTTTAAATCACAAAAATTGGAATTGCTGGTGGACGGTGAGAAGTGATAGGCTCAACTCTGTACATGTGCATATGTACAGACAGGAGCATGTGCAGATTTGAGCTCATATAAAACAGTAAAATGAAAAATGTTGAATATTAATTGTAAAAGATTAAATGTATTTGGAATGGGTTTAAATATAATTACAAAAGGATGAAATGAAAGTAAAAAAATCCCTTGAGAGCTTGATAAAGGAACTTTTTTCTTTGTTTCTTCAAAATCGCCTTTTCTTTTATATACAATACCTAACAATACTTTTAAGTTAGCCTAATTTTATATTTGAATGAGGGATTTAAGAAATCAAAATGTAAAAAATATTTTTAATAATAAGTTATGTATATATAAAAAACGACTCAATTTTCAATTCTTACAATTGAAAAGGGTACATATGCAATTTCTATCAATTTATGAATGTCAAAATTTTGTATATGTTGTACGAGTATCTGGGTCCTAGGAGGTTAACGTAGAACAAACTCAAGATGTCAAGCTACAGGCTTATTTAATGCCTTCATCACGATTACAATCTTGAATTGATATCATCAGCTGTTTCATGGCTTCAATACGAAATGATAATTTATGTTCTTGATTATAGTCCTAACTGAAGGCATTAAATATGCTTGAAGGCTTGACATCTTGAGGGTTTTGGGCATCAAATGGCATCATCTAAGCCTAAAAAGTGATGTCATATTTATTAAGAGTTAAGATGTCATTTTCCTTTCCTTTAAAAAAAAAGCAACGTAAAAATAGGTTATATCTTATGAGCCTAAATCTTAACAAAGGGCAGGCTTAAAAAAAAGTTTTAAGTATTTCAAGTTATTTTCAAATAATGTTAAGAATTAAAAGAGAATAAATACAGAATTTGAATTATTCAAAAAAAGAAGAACGAAACTTTTCTGCCCGATCCAGTCAAGAGAAATATTTAAAAAAATTTTCCTTACCTGTTTTGAAGCCACTGTAAAATCTTTCATGTTAAACTCAGTGTCGAAATATTTTGAAATAATGAGATTAGTTAGTATTACATTTTTGAAAGTTTTGAAAATATTTGGCCAAATGTAAACAGGAAAGTCCATAACCTGTGGGCAACCGTCTCGCCTCTGAGTCGTACTGTACCCGCGGGATGGGTCCGTTTCGTTCTGCTTTTTCAAAATCGGGTTCGCGTTTGAACGATATATTATATTGAAGGGATGTTGGCACGCGCACGTCCTGACGACTGAAGGCGATTTTCTCGCGATGTGGTAACTCAAAAGGGACATGATTAAGAATAACTAGCCGATTGGAAGAAAAATGACAAAATTTCAAAATCGGCGTCGACGAGGACGTGAAGATCGACCGAGGGTTACGACTTACGAGATGCGGTTGGCTGGCTGACAGAGCGGATAACAGCGGATTTCCCGGGTAGACTTCCTACGGTTGAAAACAATTGCAACATGTGACATGTGACTGTCGGTTGGGGGGGTCTCTATCCGCCCGCGATTCAGGACTCCGAACGGCGGCTAAATTCGAATGTCTACAAACACTTAGGAAACCTGTCAAAAAAGTATGTTTATTTACAAATAAAGCTGATAGCCTGATTTTCTAAAATACATAACGTATAGATCAACTATACAATTTATACACAATATCATTAGAAACAATAGATATTTCCGTTGAATTGACTTTTTTTTAGCTTCTAATTAACCTTTTTAAATTTCAAATTGCCCCTTTTCGACCTTAAATTAACCCTTTTTAACTTCAAATTAATCTTTTCTAACATAATTTTTTTAAAATTTAAAATTAACCACATTTAACTTAAAATAACTTTTTTAAATTTCAAATGAACCCTTTTTAACTTCAAATTGTCCTTTTTTAATTTTCAATTAACATTTGGTAATTTAAAATTAATCGTGTTTTACTTCAATTAACTTTTCTTAACTTAAAATCAATCATATTTAGAATCAAATAATAATTTTGAACTTTAAAATAACTTTTTTTTTCATCCAATTAATTTTTTTAAATTTCAAAAACCCTTTTTTTAAAGCGATAAAATTTTTTGGAGATGTTAAATGTACAAACAATAGGCTCTTAGAAGACAAAGTAAAAATTACAGTTAAAATTAAAAATTATGTAACATTATATATGAAAGTAAAGGATTGTCTTTTTAATTTGAGAATTTTCAAAAACTTTAACCTTTCTTAATTTCAAAGTAACACTTTTGAACCTCAACTGAACCTTTTTTAAAAAATTTTTTAAAATTTATTTTTTTTATTTTATTTACGAGGGTTCGCAACAGCAGAGGTCATATCAACCCTTGCTGGTGCTGGTGTTTTTGAAAAAAATGCAATTTGTATGTAAGTCGGGTTCGAATGTAGGGCCGCTGGATTCGAACCCGGGGACCTTTACCTTACAGTGATGAGCGCCTTGTCAACGCCTAAACCGTTGCGTTTTATTATTTCTTCTTACTATATTAATTTTAATAAACTTAACAGATATATTCTTGTTAGTTGGATAAAACAAGAATGAACAACATGATTCGCGAACAATATGATTCGCTTTTCTTACTGTATAGTGATAGCAGGGCGCCAAAGAGTCTCCCGCGAACAGCGGATGCGTACAATGCTCCAACTTCTGCTCCCTTCAGTGCAGTTTGGAGAAGACGGTGTAACGGTCTGGGCTGGGATTTACATTGGAGGACGAACTGGACCCCATATTGTTGAACCTCCTCGCAGTCCGTTATATCCAAGAAATTATCGAGGAATACATCCCTCAAACCAGTGATCTCATTGGCAGAGATTTTTGGATGAGAATGACAGACCTCGTAGAGGCAGAGTTGTTCATCAATGTTTACAAAACCTGAGAACTTCCCATCTGCCCCTTCCACCATTATCTCCAGACCTCAATCCCATTGAGCACATGTGGGATGCGTTGCAGAGAAGGCTTTTCGATCACCATCCATCCGAAGCCAGTTGAATTTCAACAACTGAATGCAGCGTTGCAACAACTATGGAGTGAAATTCATTATGAATTGGTGACAACCTTATTAACATTATGCCTAGCAGGTACACAGAGGTTTTAGCTAACAGCGGACGTTATTCACTGTATTAATTGTTTAAAAAAAATAAATATTGTGTACAATAAACAAAATTATGGAATTAAAACCTTTTATTTTCAAAATCCCTTAATTGCATTTTCCTTCAGTAAAAACATAATAATTTCTAATAAATTTTAATGTAATTTATAATAAAAATAAAATAAAAAATACTAGAGAATTTAAATACTACAAAATTGGCAATATCCCTATTCATTTTTGAACAGTTTAAAAGAAAAATAATGGTGCACTGATTTACATACTAGTCGCATAAGACCATGTTTTGCTAAAGTTAATCGTTTCCGAATTAAATGGGGTATGCCATCTTGTTGTTAAAAAAGCCCTCTCACCCCCTCTCACGCGTCTTCCGTCGGGCATAACTCAGAAATGGCAGTTCCTTTCAGTAAAACTGGTATAAAATAAGCTCTAGAATCGAATTGTACAATAAAAATATGTAATTTTCTTTTAAAATAACAAAGTTAGTGTCACTTCCGAGCTATATGAGAAAGTTATATTAAATCTGTAACCATCACTCGATTCCTGGCCAAAATTAACTTGGTGTTTGTAGAACATTTTTTATTAAAGTTAACCGTTTCCGAAATAAATGGGTGGACTATAGAAGTTGATACACCCTGTATATATATACTACATACTATATACTGCTCAGAAGTAATGATGTATCTCCAAATTTTTTAATTTTCATTTTCTTTTTACATTATATTCTTAGGTTCGCTTTTTTGAAAAACATGATAAAATCGACGTACATCGATACAGAAATATTGAAAGCAGTTCAAAATATCGACGTGTTGTATGTAGCTTAAAACGTTTTGGATAAAATATATTTAAAGAAAATATTAGGAAAAAAGTATTTCCAAAATTTTACTTTATCTTGGTAAAAAGTGATTGTATTACTGGATAAATTTAACGCATGGCCCACTTGCGTTATTTTCCACTCGTTTTACGCCTCAAGAACTCGTTTCACGCGTAAAACGGATCGATTTATCTGCTCATTGCCTTCAAATTGCATATCATTCTTGCATTAGATGCTGTTATGATCTGAAGCCAAGAGATCATATTTCTTCCTATATTAACGTCTTCAGCAATCGTAGCTTTTTTATTTATTTATTTATTTTTATTTTTTTAACGAGGGTTCGCAACAGCAGAGGTCATATCAACCCTCGGGGTGCCGGTGTTTTTGAAAAAAAAAAAAAAAACCGTTTGTAAGTATGTCGGGTTTGAATGCAGGGCCATCTTAACTTTCTAAGAGTCTAGGCGTCGGTTGCAGCAACGGTTTAGGCGTTGACACGACGTTCGTCAATGCAAGGTAAAGGTCCGGGGTTCGAATCCAGCGGCCCTGCATTCGAACCCAACATGTTTACAAATGGGCTTCTTATCAAAAACCCGGGGTCCCGGAGGGCTGGTATCCTTCTGCTGTTGTGAACCTTCGTAAAAAAGCACTTATAAACTTAGAGTTTTAATATACATATTTAAAATTAAATCAAATAAATGTGCTCAATATCTATCAACTGTTTTCCCAAATTCCTTAACCCACCAATCATATCCCAAGACTTCAACACTCCTCTATCTGGAATTTGCTTATCCGGGCTTATTTCAGGTCCATGGCATCTGAGTTTTTAAAAACGACGTGAATCGTCTTCGGGGGTAAAAAATTCCGATTTTTTTTTGCACAGGGGTCCTAAAAACGTGCAAATTGAGAGCAAACTCTGCACATCGTTTTTCGTCCGAACGAATACTTTCTTCTCCTTCAAAGGGAAAAACTGAAAAAAATCACTTAATTTAAATGTTTGAATAGTTTAATTTCAAAAGGGGACATAATTTTCATAAGTTTCCAAAATGTTTTTCCGTCATAGTCTGCAATGTAAATGTTTTTAGTCACCAACATTAACGAATATAAAACATCAATCACCAACTCAGCGGTTATCACATCGAGAAATCGAATAAGAAGATTAGAGGCAGAAATCAGAAAAGCACCAGAAGGACAGGTCGAATCAAGAAAAAAATTGGTCTGCATTGTAATTTTTAGCACAAAACAAAAACGATCAAAAAACCTCTCACGGCACTAAGGAGTGAGAGGAAGATTTCTTTCTTTTGCGGAATCAATCCAGCGGTGCTAAAAATTTCCTATTTTAAAATTATAGAATAATTTGAAAACAATGAGTATATATTATTATTTATTTTATACAAAACGTAACATCATAAACATATTGCAATAGGATAAAAAAATTAGTCAAATGTTTTTGTTTATTATTAACAGCTGACGTTAAATTAAATTAGATTCGAGCCATTTTTTCCTACACCACTGAAAATAATGAAAATAAAATAATGGTTTACTAGTTAAATACCTAATTTGAAATTTTATTTAAGCTATTTAATTAATTATTTTCCCGTGTAACTTCACTATTACCATATTTTTTTAATAATATACACAATTTTAAGGACTTTGGCTTTTTACCGTGATTTCTCTGTTAATTTAAAAGACATCTTGGCATGTTTGGTAACAAAAAATTAAGAAACGCCTACGGTTTCATTTTATTAAAAATAATAATAATAATTTGAGCTTTTAAACGAAAGAAATTAAATTTGAAAGTACCGTATTTGAAAAAAAATCCTGATTAAAAATATTTTTTCAAATTATGATACTTTGAATATACTGCTTGGATTTGAGCAAAACCGGGCTTAAAAGTTACAGGAAGAATCCAGCTTAAAAACGGTACCAAAAATGCCAAAATCGAATAGTGAGGGGCGGAGCTAGGATATACAATAGTATAACCAACCGAACTGTTGTACGGGAGAAAACGCAAAAATGGCAAAAATGTTGATTGATTTTTTTATTTTAATCGCTTATAACTCTGCGACCCCCAGTCGATTTGGCTGAGAAACAATCCCAACCGTCCTTATAGTATTCTTTACCACTCTGCCAAATTTCATTGGTATGTGATGAAAAACGCGGCTGTTAGAGATCGCTAGATTTTTGAAAGAAATCTACCTAAAATTAAACATTAACATACAGGTTTCTTGATAGCAAATCGAGCGATCGAAGTATCGAACCGGGAGCGTGACAAGTTAAGAGGAAACTGATTTAATTTTGGGAAGATTTATAAGAGGTAACAGATCAAGGTTTATATAACCCTGAAATATAAGCATCTTCTCTTAATTAAGGCTAAACTAAGACATAACACTGCAACAGTCTGTGAATAATAGTTATTTATTGTGAGTGAATCCATCTGAGTCAATACGCTAGATTATTTTTTGCAACATGCTACGTTATTCGTCTACCGTCCAGAATTTTCGACACAGTTTGCTAAGGTTCACCAAGCGATTCGAGAACAGTTTCA